AAAGAAAGAGAAAGATTACCCCTTCCGTCGGGAAATCAAGTAAAATAAAAGAAAGCCCCACTTTCTTCTCTCTTCTTTCCGTAGAAAACAGTAATGTACATACTAAAATAAAGATTGGTTTCGTTATTTTTACGAAAGAGAATGGGAAATTTTTCTGGGTTTCTTCTTTTACATATGCTTATTGTTTGACAAACTAGATTAAACCATTTATGGAAGGCCAAAATATAAAATTTTAAGCTTGTATTTAAGAAAATCTTTCCAGTTTGCAATTGTCTGCAACATTCTGAACCAGTTCTTCATTCGTTGCTTAATGCATAATTTAGCATTTCCGTATCCATCTCTATTGGCAGTTTACATGGATCAATCAAAATGAAGAACTGGGAACAATCATCTGAAAAGATAACATAAATTACCTCTAAATTTTCTATGATAGAAATGGTTCAGTAATGACATACTACAATAAAGAATGGTTTCGTTATTTTTATGAAAGAGAAACAATTGTTTGACATTTCCCCCCATGATAGAACGATTACTTCAGAGTTTTTAGCTGATTATGGCATTGAGCATGTGAAGCTTTTGGTAATTAACATTCGTGTAAAATGTAAATGACTTGATCGGTGGATACAGGTGCAACCGTGGAGCCATTTGGATCCTTTGTGTCTAATCTCTTTACGCGGTGGGGAGACTTGGATATATCTGTTGAGGTATCTCATGGTTCATGTATTTCATCTGCCGGAAAGAAGCAGAAACAGACTATACTCAAGGAATTGCTGAGAGCTTTAAGAAAGACAGGTAATTTGAGTGAATTGCCATGCTTTTATGTTCTTGTTATAACATTTAATAGGAGAGTAAAGAAAGCTTTTTCTTGGGGTTGGAGGCGGCCGCAGATTGATATTGTTTATCTTTGATTGTTCGTCATAAATAATGCCTACTAATTATGATGATAACATTTGTTTGCAACGATGATAACATTTATTTGCAGGTAGATGGTTAAGGATACAATTTATTCCCAGTGCAAGAGTTCCCATTTTGAAAATCATCAGCAAATAAAGTCCAAATTCTTGTGCTTTTTCGATCGATAATCTGCAGGGCCAAGTAAAGTCCAAATTCTTGTTTTGGCTCTGTGAGATGGGTGGTCGATTTACTCTCGTTAAAAGCCAACGCTTCCCATTGTTGAGTGGAACGTATATCTCATTTCTTATTCATGCTGTTACCGATTCATGCAGGTGAAGCAATGGGCCAAGGCTAACGGTATTAATAATCCGAGACTTTCAACTCATATTCCCTCAGTTTGCTAGTCATTTTCCAATTTCAGGTGGCTTTTATGATTCATTCTATTTTAGGAAAAGTTGTAGAAGGGCTTGTTTTATTTAATACATCCATGGGTTGTTTATGGAGTTGATTGTATTTGTTATTCTACTCTTCATTTCTCTTGAAGTACACTTGTTTGAATCGGTTCGGGATTTGAATACATACCCGTATTAGCTGCTCACATATTTGTTTATCATTTCATTTATTTATTTTTCTTGCAGACGTTTTTACCTCCTTTAAAAGATATATACCCAGCAAATATTGTCGATGATCTTACAGGTAAGTCTTAGATAAGCCAAAAACTATGGATAATGGGTAACTGAGATCTTTTTCAAAAGTTCTATTTAATTTTCTTGTTTATTCCCTGTTTCGGAACAGGGTTTCAAATTATAGCTTTGATTCTTCAATTGTTGGATCTTGGTTGTGTTTGATGGAAATTTTGAGTCGGACATTTCATATTTTTTCATTAATATTAAAAATGCTGAACATGTTTAGAGGATAAGTTCCAGATACAAAAGCTTCTCTGTGATCGCAGGTACCAAAGTTGATGCAGAGATACGTACTGCACAAGTATGTTTGTCTAACATTGCCAGGTTTAAGATCATGTAGGACCATAAACCGGAGTTCTCTGTCTGAGCTATTTATTTCCTTCATTGCCAAGGTATTTATTCCTAGTACGACTGTCTATTGTTAACGTCGAAGGTCAAAATATTATTTAACATGTATGACAACATGCTTCGAAAATCAGTTCTCTTTGGGAGCACCATATGTTAGAAGCGTAGATGGGCACTCAATTATTTATATCACTCGAACTATTATTAATATGAGGCAAAATACGTTACAACAACGTTATTCAATATTACAACACTAGCTGCGGCTTGTTTGCAAACACAATCTCACTATTATAAGCTTTGCTAAGTTTTACTCAATTCTCTCATAGCTTTGCTAAGCTATTTCTTCCTTGCTTTGCTAAGCTTTTTCATTCTCTTTGCTAAGCTATTTCTCATTATGGCTTTTTTAAGTCTTTTCTCATATTCCTTCTTTTTCACTTTGCATACATTTATATTAATGCTAAAGACATATATTTATAAGGGTAATTAACCTCCTTAATGAAAGATCTAGACATTTCCAAATTCTTCTTGTATTGCCACATGGAGTTCCTTGTCTTAATGAAATTCCCTTCCATCATCAATTGTCACATGTTTATTTTCCATGCTTAGTTCTTAAGTAATTCAAGATCATGCTTCACTAATCAAGAATCTTCTAGCTTTTGCCAAGTGTGTTGCCAACTTTGACAATTTCAATGCAACTATATCATCTTGTTGCCTCTTTAATTTCTTTTCTTTTGCCAACATTGATTTCCATAATGTTCAAGAATTATCCATGCGTTGCCAACATAAGTAGTAAAATTAGATTTGAATTCTAACACCATATAGGCTTTGTTTATGCTTAATCTTTAAATATTTCTTCAGTTTTCAGACATAGAGTTGAGGGCCTCGGAGTTGGGAATCTGTCCCTTTACGGGACAATGGGAGTACATAGCAAACAATACGAGATGGTTGACCCGCACGTACGCAATATTTGTAATATCTCCCTCTCTTTATGTTATATTTTTTAAATGTTTCATTGATTAGACACATAAAGTTATAGCAGCTCATTTTATGTTTGTTTAAGATTGAAGATCCTTTGGAACAGCCAGAAAATTCTGCTAGGGCGGTCAGCCAAAAACAGTTGATAAAAATAGCCGAAGCATTTCGAACGACCCGCCGTAAACTAATCTCAGCTAATGCGGCCCGAAACACACTCCTCCCTGTATTTGTTGGACCACAGATATCCCGATTTTTGTAAACCATTCAGTCAGTTACTCAAACAGCAACGGTGGCCACTACCTGAATACACATCCACAGGCACATCGAGCCATGCAATCACCTTTGCAAATGCAGCAACATCGGCAGCCGCTATACACGAAATCAAGGCCCTCAACCTTTCAAATGCAGCATCAAGCTCCAAATGTGGTGTCCTCTACATCGAACACGCAATCTCAATTTTGGAAATCAAGGGTGCCTAATGGATCGAGGCCAAAGCATCAATTTCAAAAGGGGACCCCTTTGGTCTTACAAGTTCAAGTGCAAGTGCAACCTAAGTTTCAAAAGTCAAGGAAGGAAGTTTACTAACTCAAGCAACAACGACACCTACTACTCGAATCTACCTCCACAAGTACATTGAGCTGTGCAAATATCTTTGCAAATGCAGCAGCACCAGCAGCGGCAGTCGCTGTACAAGAACTCAAGGCCCTCAACCTCACAAAAACAGCATCATCTAAATGTGGTGCCCTCCACATTGAAAGTACGATCTCATTTTTCGAAAACAAGGGTGCCGAATAAAGTCCAAATTCTTGTTTTGGCTCTGTGAGATAGATGGTCGATTTCGTGACATGGTTTTACTGGTAACTCTCGTTAAAAGCCAACGCTTCCCATTGTTGAGAGGAACGTATCTCTCATTTCTTATTCATGCTATTACTGATTCATGCAGGTGAAGGAATGGGCCAAGGCTAACGGTATCGATTTCAAAAGAGAACCCCTTTGGTCTCGCAAATTCAAGTGCAAGCGCAATCTCAGTTTCAAAAATCAAAGACTGAAGGTTACAGTGTAAATTTGGCCAGTTGCATGTACATTATAATAATGAAGGGAAGATGTGAATGCCAAAATCTGATCAATGGAGATAGAGTGGGTCTTTAAAGCGTCTTGAATTTATTGTGATTCATGTGTAATTGGAATATATAGTGCTCTCTGTGTAAAGCATGTTTTGATAAACCGTAACAAATATTGATTGAAAAGTGAAATGTTCAGATATAATGTGGGGTGGAACAAGATTACATCTTGTTCGTAATGTTACATTATATAATGTCTGTAATGCTATATTATATCTTGTGTACATACAAATTCTTTAAAGAATAATAAAATAAATGTAGAGATCCGACTTTCTAAACAATGTACATTAAAGTTGAGTAATAAAAATCGAAAATTTTTAAGTTGACCTCAGAATTATAGTGTTTAAACATATTATAATTTACAAGTTTAAAAATCATTATTATTTGGATTGAAATAAATTTGATTTTTATTTAATTTATAATTAATTTTAATTATTTTATATAATGATAAATATTGTATACTTAAAATAGTAAAAAACTTACAAAAGTTACGTATAAATTATTAATTATTTTTGTTCACTTAAAAAATTAACTTTCTAAAATATATTTATGAAAAAGATTTTAAAACTTTATCATGTTTAAAAATCATAAAATAAAATTATTTTGTTAAAATAAAATACAAATTTCGAAAATCAAAATTAATATATAATAAAAAACTGAGATAAATCGAACCGAAATCTGATGATACACTAATTAAAAAATTTATCGAACGGGGTCAGTTTATATTTCAAATTGTTCAAAATAAAAACATTTTTTATTAACTCACAATCTTAGTGAATAAAACATGAAAATGATAATAGAAAAATTGCATTCACAAAGGCAATTACAAACTGCAAGTAACCCTAATACAAAATACTAATAACTTTATCATAACCGATTATATTCGAATTTTAGATCAAAATAAATCTGCACAAAATCTACGTGTAATAAGACTTGAACCGGAGTAAAATCTTAACTAAAAAGCTCATGAATGGTATCGAAAACCTACATATGACACTTAAGCCATTAAAACTCAAACTCGAGATCTCAAAGTCCGAACCTCAAACTCGACCCATAGATAGGTCTAATCTCAAACCATCTAGAAAGCATATCTAGGCTTATTACCAGGCTCCATTTCAGCTGAAGATATCAAATATCTGGCTGGACTGAACACCATCTCTAAGAACCTCAAAAGTGTCTGATGTCCTGCTCGGGTCTGATGACTGCAAATACCGTAATCTTCTCACCTTGTACGATGTTAAAACTTCAAAATCGATGACCCCTCTTTTATTCTGGAAACAACCCTTTGCAAGACTCGCATTAGCCTATCTAATTACATCTTCGATTTGCATTAGTTAACACCAAAAGGTGGTGCGACTTCAAGTCCTCGGTTCTACTGGTTCAACCGCGAAGCAAGCGCTTGTCACATGCCAAGATCCTGTAACTTGCATGAGGACCCTCAGATGTATCGCGTAAAGCTGGATGCCAACCCATGGCTTTTGCAATATCTTGAAGCTCATCCATAACGTCAAGAGAATCGCGGATGTATACTCGCCCACCAGGTCTCAATATCCGGTCCATTTCAAGCATGATGGTAGACATATTACATCTGATATGCAAGTAGAGAATTATCAAATTAACAAGAAACCCAACCAGTTAAACATGATTTATCAACACTTTACCCTGTCAATGAAACTTCCAAATTGTTCACATAGTGACAATGAACCTAGCCGAGACACGCTCACCCGTATTTTCTTACTATAAAATAAACAATAATTGGACCTTGGATGATAATTATAAATATAAAAGGGAACTTCACTGTTGAAAGTGCCAAAGTGGTGAATAAAATCTTCTGTTTTCAGCAAAAATCAATTTCTCAACACTATCATTAGTTATAAAGTTCATAAGGTGTCCTATTCAAAATAAACAAATTCATAAGATGTACCTTTTCCTCTCAATCGAGAAGAGGCCAGCTGCATGCAAAAAGTCATAGGTCCTCGGGTATGTATCGAATGGCTCACACCTGGAAAATTACACACGATTTATCTTATAACTTGGATCAAGCAGTGGTAAGTGATAACAAACATAGCATACTTTGAAGTTGTAGACTAAATCAGCATCATCAGCCTAACAATATAATGCATACATGTGTTCGTGTCTTAAATGCATACATGTGTTCGTGTCTTAAACACACAACATTTTGAAACATCGTTTATTTGAAGGTGTAGATAACTTTTCCGAGATCCGAAGTAATGATATTTTGGCCACAAGATCCTTTCTAATGTATAATCTAATAGAAGGAAGTAAAGGCATTACTAATCCAATCCAATTCAATCTGATCAACTATGAGAGTTTCCTGATTGAGTTATGGTTAAGAAAAAGTACAAGTCGTGCATGAACCCTATTAATCCGCAATCATATATAACAGGGACCACAATGAGAACCAAAGCATCAAGTTGGCCACAAGATAATAATAATATAATAGATGGAAGTAAAGGCATTACTAATCCAATCCAATTCAATCTGATCACCTATGGATAGTTTCCTGATTGAGTTATAGTTAAGAAAAAGTACCAGTCGTGCATGACCCCTATTAATCCACGATCATATATAACAGGCAAGGTATTAGGCCCACTAACAGGGACCACATTGAGAACCCAAGCATCAAGTTGGTTGTTGATCAATGCTGCAGCAAATCTGCACAAAAACACATAAAATAAAGATTTTTTTTAAATACCGAAACATCTTAGTTGTAAAGTACGAGACAAGGAAAATACCCTCCAAAGCCAGCTCTCATGTCCATTACATTCCTTAGATTAAACTTCTTCCAATGTAGAGAACGGACATAGCTTGCCACTATTTCATTCCAGTATTTTGATTCAGCCTTGAAGTGTTCTTTTCTAGCTATGTAGGAATCAATATGTATGCTCTTCAGCCTGTCAGGTGGAGTTTGCAAACGAGCAGGCCAAGGTGCAAAATTTGCACCATATCCATTCTCAGGAAGTCGACTAATGCAAGCCTTTAGAACAACATACCTATTGGATCATGCAAATATCCTGTGACTAACTCTAAACTACTCGCATTAAACAACAAAACATTTTAAATTGACACCCTTGAGCATGAAAGACCTAAATGATAACCAAGAAGCACTAACTATAAGGACAGGAATGAGTAGTTCCAGATTTTGAAATAGGTTTAGAAATCAATCCTCAGACTGATGAAGTTAAAATAATATGCAAGTGAAGAAAACATTGTTCAATTGATGGAAACCATAAAAAAAATCAGCATATAGAAGTGAAATCATGCCAATGGTCAGTTTCATGCAGCTGATAGTCAGTAGAACTTTCAATGGTCAAAAAGACCATCGGCAAAACTCCAACACGGTTACCGAAAAGCAATTATATGCACAGATTCCTTCAAGCAGAAGATGGTTTCTCATTCGTTTTATATGGGGCACACACTAAAAGCAACATACACCAGCTAGTGCACAGAAAGATGCATAGAACAAGTGTCTAAAACGCCAAGCACTCAATTATATGATCGCTGATAAAGCATCCGCATAGGCAGGGAAGGACATGTATAAATAAAAATCAGCCATTCCAGTTTGATGATATTGTCACATTTATGAATTGTTTTTTCAAATAAAAAGAAGAGTTTGAACATACCAAACATTATCTGGGTCATCATATGGATCACACAGAGGAGGAATAGTCCCAGCTTCACGGCTTAAATAACAGCTGTTATTAAAAGGCTTCTGCCATATTGCAATATACCCTTCCTTCTTTACAAGGTTCCAGCAGAGGCGAGTAGTAAGGTTAAGCATCTCTGGAAACAAAGGAGATCAAAAAAGGATCATGAATTGAAAATCTAACACATAATTTCTTAAAACTGCCACACAACAAATTTCATCAAATGAGCGCAAGCTAAACAGTATAAATTGTAAACCGGGATAAAAAGAAAATGTCAGTATAATTTAAAGTTGAAATTGCAAATCCATAATGAGTATAGTAGTTATCACATTTCTTCACATTCTTAACATGAATCTAGGTCCATCATTTCTACCTTCCCACTGTTCCTCAAGGGCTTGTTCATGCTTGTAAACAGGCTGCGCTGCCCAAGCAAAATATCCACCAGCTCTGAGCATTCTATTCACCTCAAGGAGCAAAATTCCATCTTCATTACAAAGCATAGAAGGATAAATCAGAAGATACCCCAAAAGTTGGTTAAAAGAAACATGAAAGTGATATTCTATAAATATCTAATGAAGGATAATGTTTTAAAATATAAACAAGTTTTACTAAAAAAGAAAAAGCGGAAAGAGAAAGAAAGATTATAGGAAAAGAGAAAGGAAACTGGAATTGCAGAAATTCCTTAATGGAGAAGAGTATCAGAAATAGAATGAGCATATAGGGTAGCCAGATCCCAAAGTTAGTGCAGAAATGTTATTTGAAATAGTACAAGAAAAAAGTATCAGATCTAAAATATTTTCCTTACTTCGCTTTGCAACCAAAAAATGACTAGATAAGACAGAAGTAAAAAGTATACCATTGCGACTAGATAAAACAGAACAAAAAGTTTACCATCGCGAGTCCAGTTTATACGACATCTAGAACAATGTATCAAATCAAAGGCTTGACTGGGATACAATAAACGAAGAGTTGCAAATGCAGCTACCATTGCAGGTACTCCACGTTCGAGAGCAAATTGGATCTGGTTTTCATGGACATCTTTAGGAGCTATTGACATGGCAATAGCATTCCGTGATAGCAAATAAGCACCAAAACTTGCCACACCACATCCAACATCCAAAACAACACGAATATGATGACCAAATGTAATCTCAGGGACCATCTGGATATACAGGTTAGAACCTGTTTGTCAGAAACAAAATCCAGACATTTTCATGCATACATATAAGATTTTAAAATTTTCATAACCTTAGACATTTGATCCAGGTACTGGTCTGCCCCATGTATGAATTGTGTGCCACCTCCAGGAAACTTGAATTTATCCTTCCCTTTTCTGGAAATCCAATTCTGACCACCTTTGTCATCTACCAGACGCGAATGCGGGACATTACTGAACCACACCTATCCATTGAAGCAGTATATCCTATTAGAAAACTACATATGCTACATGTGAATAAATGAACGAATAAACAAATCAAACTGAAACAAAAGCAATTTCAAAACAAACCTTCAAGTAACAAAAGGTTCTTGTGAAAGCACAATGATGAGGGTAATAAAAACAACATTAATCAAAAGAAGTAAGGCTGAACAAATGAGTAGGAAAGAAGATGGAACTCGAGAAAAACTTGGGGTTAACAAAACCTCTAGTTTTCTTTTAATTCAAAGAAAACAATAATGATAACTCGTGGCTGTAATGTTTTTACAACTTATTATACTAGGCTTACAAAGATAATTTAATACTAACCCTGGATTTATAACATAAAGGAAACTTAAAATCCCAGCCATCCAAAATATTTCTAATATTTAATAAAACTGAAATAAATAGATATTATAATATTATAAGCTCATGCATCACACAAGATGGAAAAAGAAGGGTAAAAACGAAAAAGAGAACATTCAAAAGTATTGTTTCCTTTAATCCCTCAGCAACAAAGGGGAAAAAGATATCAAAGCCAGCACAATTAACATCCAAAATTTCATCTCTCTACCAAGTTCTTTTGCTTCTCAATAAATGAACTTAAATCAACCCAAAAAAAAGCTTTAACCTCACTTCTCAAACACTACATATTTCAATTCTACCTAGGATATATTTCCATTAAAGATCTAAAGATACCAAATCCGTTTCTTAGTACTTCAACACATGTAACAATTTAACAAAAAAAATGAATAGCAAAATAAATAATTTAACAAATAAATCATTCAATAGTGCTTGGTAAACACCCGAAGTTTGAGAAAGCTAACAAATAAAGTCACAGCCTGTTGTTTCTAATCAAGTAATTCTGAACTCGTGAAACTCAGCTACACAGACTGCATGCAGAACTTAAGCATTGACCGAGTTGAGACAAAGTAGTTAAATATATTAAAAATAAAAATACATAAAGCATATGATATATCATTTCATTCTACATAATATCGTTAAAAATTAATCAAAATATCTTACCTCATCGCGGCTCCTAGGCCAATTGATTGGCGGCCGGTACCCTTTGGGAGGCGGAACCAAGCAATTCAATCCTTTTCCTTTCTCCGGACAATGCCGTTCAAATTTCTCTCCATTCTTAGTCGACTTAAGCCTCTTGATCGCTTCCACATTATCCAAACAAGGTATATACTCTCTCATACTCTCGTCACAAAGCCCAAACTTCTTAGCCCTGAATGTAGACTTAGCATCTTCCTTATTGGTTTCCGTCTCAATCTCCGTTCCGTTTCCCCAATTCTCCACCAAATCTGGATCGAACTCCCCGATCTCAAACTCATCCGACATCGTACCATTCTCATCCACGATACCGTAACTCTTTATCTCCGGTGGCGGCGGGGGAGGAGGCGGAGCTGCCTTCAACGCCGACACCGATTGCCGCTCATTACTTATATCCGGATCAGCTGATCCCGAGCTGGTTTCGAGTTCTGTGGCATTAATGAGAGCGGAAATATTGAATTCTTTATTGAAATTGGGAGAAATAGCGACGGAAGGCACAGACGACGTCGTGGTGGAAGGCGATTGGCGGGAGAAGAAGACGAGCTGGCGGGAACCGTCGGACCAGTGTTTGCCTAAGTAAAAGAATGAGACGGAGATGAAAACGAAGGCTGCGAATTTGATCGCCGTTTGGCTCTTGAGGAAATCGGCATTGCCGGGAAGCTTCATTGTTTGAAAAACAAAGCCGACAGCGGCGAACAGTGGCGGTGGCGGATTTGCGGAGATCTGGAATTCTGGATCGTTGATTTTGAATCTACAGTGGCATTTTCGTGATTTTCTTTGGAGTTGAAAGAAGAGCTCAGAGTCTGTGAAGTAACGAATTTTCGGAACTATTATTGATGAACGTGCCTTTTGCTAACCTCACCTGGCCGTGAATGGAGATTTTGTCCTCCTCCTCCTTTTCTTTTTCATGGTTTAATTATGGAAATAGTCCCTCTATTATGCTAACATTTAATATTTAATCTCTTCACTTTAATTCAATGTAATTTAATTTTTCTATTTTAATAACATAATTAATATATCTAAATTGATAAGTTTTTAGTTATTATCATTAAAACATTGTATTTTTACAGTTGTTTGATCTTATAAAATTGTATGAAAATTTAATTAATAATAATTTTACATTTATAGTTTTGAAATTGTTTTGAGTAAACTTTTATTGTCAACGAGTATTGAGAGGTTTAATAAATTTTATCCTCATTTTTTGGAAGGGTGAGAACAAACTGATTAAAAGATCTAGAATGGGCTAATCTTCCATTTGTCGCCCTCAAGCAGAGGAAGTGCTCCGCCTAAAGGACCTCATGACTTGAAATCAAGCTTATGTTATATTTTCATTAGAAGGATCCCCTCAAAGAGGACTCTAGTTGGATTGTCTGGATTCACACTTGCATTCTCAAAGATCGATCCTTTTAGCAAATTGTGGTGCGGTGCCTCAATATTGTATTCGAACGTGTCGAGGTTTACTCTTTCTCCGGGATAAGGTTTTTGTTAATCTTGTTTGATGCAAGATCCGCTTGAAATATGATGGAGATTTTTTAGTATATGTTCATAAAATCGTATCATAATTCTAATGGCAACACTTAATGATATGATAATTTAGACTTAATAACAACATTAACGGATTTAAGCATTAAGTATCCAAAACCTGACATCTGTTAATATAGACTCGATTCTTATTGACCTAATATTGTTCAAGTAGTTACATGTGTTTCGCTAGTCAAATTAGTTAAAAAAATTTAAACAAATATTATCTTATAATCACTCAAACTATTAAAAAATAAAAAATAAAATTTGAATCGATGCGATCAAAAATTAATTTGGTCGACCCGTTCATCAATCTATTTGTAACTTTCTATCCTAAATAAGAAATATGTTACGTGTGCTTTGCTAGTCCAATAGTTGAAGGCCCATTATGTTCCCAATGCTATCACATGTGATCCAATCCACATCAACTAATTGATCCTTGCCGATCTAAAACAATGATTGGGCCTCACTTCTCCATCACATGATCGATTGTAACTAATGATAAACCCATCAATTTCAGCCACTCGATCGGTGGAGGGGCCCAATTGAAATCATCAAGCGAAAGCCATCAATAGATCGACATCATTAGTGATTTTGGGTCACCATGTTTTCATGCTTAAATGTGACCCTAGAGGCTAAAACATGAGGTTTAAGCTAATAGGAGGTTTAAGCTAATAGAAGGTTTAAACAATATAATCGATTTGAATCTACCAATTTATCTCAATGATTAAAAGAATTATTAGTCACTTTAGAAATTTTAAATTCGAGCAGTCATGTTTGTAAAGTGTGTTATTAATGACTAAAAGATATTATAAACATATACTTCCTTATAATTATTCAAATTGTTAAAAGAATATTATTAATTTTATTCTACTTTTTTCATTTTGCATTTTAAATAGCAAATCAAAAAAATAAAACTTTATAAAAAAATGATTATATAATAAAATAAAACGAAATAAAGAACCTAAAAATTAAATTACTTAAAATTAACTTTTAAAATATTCTATTTTAATCTATTAATTTATATTTTATAATTTAATTTCATAATATAAAGATATCAAATAAAAGAATCCATGACTATATACAATTTTATCAATCATTTATAAAATTTACCTTATTTTTCTAAATAATTTTTTATAATCTTTGTTTCTCTAATTTTAGTTTTCAATATTAATCAATTCAGGAGACTTTCAACAGACCACACCTCGACACGTTGAAAATTGCAATGATTAGGGATTGAGCTTCTTCAGACACGCGTCGGATTCAAAATAAAACACGCCATAGACCACGAGCGCTATGTAAATTTCACAAACAGTGGAGTGAGAAAAGAAAAAGAAAAAAGAGGTAAGCATTCCAGAAACTTCCTCTTCAATTAATGGCTAGAAAACTCTGAAAAATATAGCGGCTCGTGTGACGCCACGTGGGTTTTGATCCCAGCAGGAGCATCCTACGTGGCACCTACCGTTCACTTGCAAACGATACGCACCCGCTTTTTATTCGCCCCAAGTTTTGGGCACTCTTCTCCCCCAACGAAACTTAAACTCTTCAAACAAAAAAAAATAAAATAAATAAATTTTAAAAATAAATTTGCTTTTTTTTTTGTTTGTTTCTCTTCCTTTCTCTATTGGGAGATGAATGGAGAAGGAAAAGAAAGCATGGATGTGAAAATGGAGGAAGGAGTTAACAAGGAGCGCGTGGTTTTCATGTGGGGATACTTGCCCGGAGCGTTGCCTCAACGGGCGCCGCTGTTATCGCCGATTTCCGTCCGGATTCCGCCTACCGGAGGCTGCTCTTGGAACGACGTATGCGGTGGAGGTTGCGGATTCGCTATGGCCATCTCCGGTTGCTTTTCCTTTTCAAATCTCTAAACCTCTCTTCTGTTTTTTTTTAAATCTCTTGTTTATAAAATCAGTATGTGTTCCTATATAGAAATTTTATTCTTAGTAAGTTTTTTGTTACGTGTAATTGTGGTTGAGTTGGTGGAGATTTGAATTAGTGCATTTTGATCTGTTTGGTCAGCGAGAAAAAATGTACGTGAAGTAGAGGAAGAGATATTTCTAATTTTTTCTTTCTTCTTTGCTTTGTGTTTTCCTCAAAGTCAACTCAATAGAGTTAAAGTTAGCGATAATGAGTTCTTTGTTTTACTGAGTTTTTGAATTAGTACAGTTTGATCTGTTTGGTTGAAGAGGAAATGCAGGAGAAGTAGAGGGAGAGAAATTTCAAATTTCCACTGTTTTTGTGTTGTTTTGGTTAACCTCGAAGTCAACTAAATTGAGTTAGCGCTCTTGAGTTCACTTGAGGTCTTTGTTTTACTGAGTTTTAACTGCAGATATGTCTCTGTTCTTTACGTTAAAAAAAGACAGCTTTCAAGTTGTTGATAGACAAATTTGAGCAGTGAATGGAACTTTTTTTCCCCCGTTAATAGTGGTTTTAATTTGTATTTTGGTATGCAAAATAATATATTTTATGCATTTCTTTGGTTTCTAATTGTTCTTTTGTTAAAACTTTAGATTCAGGGAAGCTTATCACATGGGGTTCAACAGATGACTTAGGTCAAAGTTACGTCACATCCGGGAAGCATGGGGTATTTTAATGCACTATATGTTCCCTTTATTTCTTTTTCTTTTTTGTTGGACATTTGTTTAGCTATTAAAAGTTTAAAACTTTTATTCCTTTTTATTTAATTTGCTTGTTTTAGGAAATTCCAGAGCCATTTCCACTTCCAACTGATGCTTCCATAGTAAAAGCAGTAGCTGGTTGGGCACACTGTGCTGCAGTTACAGGTAATACTGAGATTTCCCTTCTCTGTTACTCTCACTCTCTTGCTTTATTGTATATGATTGTGTGCCAAATACGAGTGTTGTCCGAAACCAAGTATGTTTAATTTTTTGAAGTTTCCATACTGAAGGTCCATATCGTATACCGATGCCCGAATATGTGTCAGACATGGGATAATTTTGTATGTTAGATTAGATGTTTCACCTGTTTAGTCAAATATGACTTGCCTTTTAGGACTTTATTTCGTAGAACCAACAACTAGTTGGAGCAAGGTAAACGACCTAGCTGATATGTCAATTCACCTTATTAACAGAGAATGCAGAAGTTTATACATGGGGGTGGAAAGAGTGTATTCCCTCAGGGAAGGTATTCGGTGATTCACCCACGGGTACAAGCTTAGAGAAGGATGCATTTGTAAGACAGAGCTCGTTTTTGGCGGAGCAAGGTAAACATCTTTTGGGTTAAGATAACAGATTGATATATGTTCTTGTTGGTATACTCATTTTATGAAGGGTGAAATCCTTGAAGTGAGCCCTCGTTCTCATGGCTCGAGATCAAGTGGTGGGACATTTCCTGCTGCGGATAGTAAAGGAGGCGGAGAAGAAAGTACAAAAAGAAGAAGAATATCATCAGCAAAACATTCTGCTGAAAGCTCATCATCCGGTGATGAAACTCTCTCGGCATTGCCATGTCTAGTAACTTTGAATCCAGGAGTGAGGATTGCGACTTTAGCTACTGGTGGGCGCCACACTCTAGCATTATCAGGTACTTGTCTGGTCCTTGGACTAATCAGTGAAATCTGACAAGATTGGTTATATGATACTTCATGCTGTAAATGGTTTCTTTTTATGAAGTAAGGTACTTGATGTATCCTAATTTTCCCTTGGTTCCAGATGTTGGGCAGGTCTGGGGTTGGGGCTATGGAGGTGAAGGACAGCTTGGCTTGGGTTCCAGGATACGTATGGTATCCTCGCCTCATCCTGTACCTTGTATTGAGCCCTCATCTTTTGTGACAGATGGAGCTTCTGCATTTTCTCGAGGTAGTTTGAGTTCAGAAAGGCAGAGTTTTAGAGTTCCTGGAAGTTATGTAAAGGGGATTGCCTGTGGGGGGCGACACAGTGCAGTGATCACAGGTATGCCTTTTATCATTCCCTTGTTTAACTGGTTAAACTTCCATGAAAATTTAAACTAATTTGACAATGCTATTGTATATGGTTACACTTAATGGAGAAGAAGTTGTTCTGAATTCTGATACCATCTAGAAGTTAAAGTGAGATAAGCTAGTAAATTGAACAAAATTTTATTTAAGTAGTTGAGGATGATTTATTGAACTGGTACGGTTCATCTTATATAACATGGTTGGAGGCGAATTGATGACTTTGGAATTAAACCATCTCTAGTATACTGATTAGATCCTTTAATCTGCAAGAGATCCATGGAAACAGATGAAGTTGTAGTATTAATAGGCCTTATGATGA